AGCAAAAAAGTTAACTGTCGAGTAACCCCATGTGTTAACCTAGCAAACAAAAAACTCTTTTACCTTGTGGAATCATTTCAAAAACACACTCCGAGAAAAATATATTAGATTCGTGCTTACCATATGATCCCTAGGATTAGGACGCCTCTGAAGCTCCAGTTCATCAAACTCAAAGACTGGCAATAGCTCCACTGCATTAATACCCAGATCCAGAAGGTGTGGTATCTTTCAACAGAAAAAAAAAGAAACAAGTGAGATATCTGTGGTAAATGATGGAGTATTTCTTGCTATTATTAGATCTTCTACTCATCAGATGTAAGCATATTATTACCTTTTCAATGATACCAAGGTAACTTCCTGCTATAGATGGATCAATCCCACTAGACTTATCAGCAGTAAAAGCACGAACATTCATTTCATAAATAACAAGATCCTTCTGCAAAACAGCAAAAGATGATTAAAAAATTAGATCATTAACAGAATCATGCAAAAACTAGTGGAAGAAGGCAAATCAAATTGGGTACCTCAGGGATGTTAGGGAACTTGTAGTCATCTCCCCAGTTAAAAAGAGAGCTCTCAAAGTCATAAGTTCCATAGAACTGAGCAAACTTCTCGTTACTATCCCCAAAGACGCTTCTCCCCTTAACAAGCTTTGCATAAGGATCCAAAAGCAGAATGCTATTGTCAAAACGATGGCCTTGGTTCCATTCTCCAGGACCATCAACACGGTAACCATACAGAACATCTCTGAGTGGCAAATCCTATTATAGTGTGCAAAAACATTTCACATTCATCAATTCCAGAGAAGGCAATAAGAAATGATTCTTCTTGAATTAGTTTCTACAACCTCAACACAAATGTGCCACGTGTCGCCAGACTTGTTTATGCTGGGATCCAAAACCAACTCCACAACATCCACACCATCCTTATCACTGGTTAAATAGAAAGTTCAGAATCAAGAAAAACTGTGATTTTTTACTAAAAAAAAAAAAATAAAAAAAAAAAAATAACTGTGACATTTTGAAAAGAAACAAAAGATATAAATTTACTTACCTCTGAGAAGGAAGTGATAAGCAGAGTGTGACAGAAGTGGCGTTATGAGAGAAGAGAGCGAAGTTGATTCCCTTGTGGACTTGGGAGACACCAAGAGGAGACGTCTCACCAGATGAAACTTTGAAGGACCGTTTCGTTTCTGCCATTTGAGATGATTCTTCCTCTATCACCCGTTCTTTTGCACGACGACAGGTGATCTTAAGCGTTGAACGATCCTTGCGAACAAGACGGGTACAAACCGGAGCTCCGGTCAGTTTCCTGCTCAAAATTCAAATCAGAATTCTGAATTTCGGATCAAAATTTCGATTCGGAAGTGAGGAAAGCTGTAACTGACTAACCGCATGGGAATGAAGCCGGTGAAGGCATTACCAGAGGAGGAGGAGTGGAGTGACGGAGGAAAACTGGAAGCAGGGGAATAAGAAGGTGAGGAGGAAAGCATCGCGCGCGTTCTCTATGATTCGATGATCGGAGTGAAGAGATTATTTGAAGACTTTGTGATGGGACTTTGGGAGAAACAAAAAGAGAGTTTCGAGAATGGAGGAGAACCGTTCATTGAGGTGAGACTGTCACGTGAACGAACGAACGAACAAACTCAAGCGCGGGTCTTGTGTATACCTTAATTCATTGTTTCCTTCTTTTTCTTGGGATTGTCTCGTTTGTCTTTTTTCCTCGAAAATATCTTTTGGTATGAGAAAAGTAATAATGATAGTTACTACTTACACATCTGATCGACTAGTCCTTTCGTTTATACACACTGTTTTGTGCCTAGGTCTGGGTGTTCGGGGTTCCAATCAGGTTTTGATTTGGTCCATTCGGGTTTTATTTTTGGGTTTATCAAAATCAGCCCCATTCGGATTACACGAAAATTCAGTTCGGGTTCTATCGAATTCGGGTCGGGGTTAGTAAATTTTCAAAGAACCGTTATAACTAATTGTATTTTAGAGTTTCGGATCCCACTCGGTTCTTTAGTTTAAAAATACCTGATTTATAATTATTTTGTAACCAAAACATAAGTAAAATCGATTTTTTTTTTCAAATTTAAAGTACATGATTTATATCTATTTTATAACCAAATTATAAGTGAAATTGATTCAAAAACAAGAAAAGAACATCAAACGTGATTATTCAAAATCAAACGAAAGGTAAACATAATTATTGATAAAAAGAAAACCAAATATATGAAGACATAAAATGAAAACCAAGTTCTCATGAAATGAGAAACGTTATTCAGTGAAAATAAAGCCAAAAACTAAAAACGTCAAACTTCAACCGCCATTTACAACCATCAATTTTCATTTTAAAAATAATTATTTTAGATGTTTAATAATATCTTAAAGTATTTTGGATATATATTAGGAATTGAAATCATGTTTGGCACAAATTTTTTTTTAAAAAAAATTGAATGTTTCGGGTTCTATCCGATAGCCATTTAGGTTCAGGTTCGGTTCGGATCATACCCATAACCTGAAATACCATAAAACAAGATCCATTCGGTATTTATATCAGGTTCGGATCGGTTCAGTTCATTTTTTATTAGGTTGGATTTGGTTCGGGTTTTCGGATTCGGTTTATTTGCCCAACCCTATTCGTGCCTAGTTATTCGAACAAAACTTTATTTTTATAAGCTTGGGCTTGGTAAATTAGTATTGGGCTTAGCCGTTTGTCACTAAACCCATTAATAATAGTCTATATTAATCTTTCTCTGCTTTTTGTAAACTTTATGGAAATACAATCACAGTTATCAAACAGGTTAATACCTAATTTTTCCTCTTTATCTTCTCTTCTACCTTTGCTCTTCCTCAATCTTCTCCTCTTTCTGTCACTCACATAGGATCAAATTTATGATCTTATCATTGGTATCAGAGTACAGTTATCCTCTTGACTATGAAGAATGAGTTTTAACGAAGAAATTCGCCAGTTGGTTCTTGAGAAACTTGCCAGTTTCTTGCATCAATCAATCAAATGAAAGTGGATCAAAAACTGCGTAATGAGCAGATGGAAGTGGATCGAAAACTGTGTAAGGAGCTTAGACTATACAATCAGAAACTACGTGAAGAGCTCTGGCTGCAATCACAAGTTCATAACACTTTTGACATCTCAGAGGAGGTGTGTGAGGGTAAAGACTGTTGGAATGAAGAAACAATACAAACGAGAAAAGAAAGCAGTACTGCTTTCGAAAGCTTGTGAGAGTTTGGGAATGTTCTATGAAAATGATTTGCGGATCCGCGTGGGAATGAGACAGATCGTTGATACAGGAACAAAGCGAGAGGCTCATCTCTTCATGTATGGGTATACCTCTTATGCTCTTACAGATATATATATATATATAATATCATAATATCTATATATATATTGATACGTTGATAAGGAATCAAAATATCTTTATTGAGGAGGTTAAAGCGTTAGTACATGATGATCCTGATGCTATGGTGGAGTCTTTCCAAGATGAAACATCAATGGAATTCAAGGAAACAGCCAGAATTTTGTTTACTTATGTGTATTCTTCTGTACATTTGAAGAATGTTACAGGGGAGTTATGTGCTGTGTCTTTTGTGATATTGTTTCAAAGGATAGGTTACACATAGTGGCGGAGCCCGTGAACAAGTATGTAGGTCAATTGACCCATATCAAATTTAAAATTTAATTTAACTTAGGCCTAAAACTATAATTTATATTGATTAATTGGTTGAATTTCAGACCCATTTAATAGATAGCCAATTTTATATACATAAAATTTTCACTCTAAAGGTTTTTTCTTCTAGCTCCACCAATACTTACACATTGTGTGGATGACGTTCTATATATTGTGATGTCAAATTGTATTGTTTTGTTTGTTTGTTAGTATAGTATGTTATTGATCCAAACTTGCTTTTTCACTTCTCTTATTATCATTGCTTGATGAAATTAAAAGAGCAATTGCTGCTGACGTCTGTACAAATGAATCTTTATATTTCGTCTCCTATGTCGCTTAGTTCCCCCATTGGTTAATTTTTTTCTCTATGTGATATTTTTGGTGAATAAGATCTGGACACTCATCATTGTTTGTGGTTAAAAAGTGTTGGAATCTGTCAGAGACCATAATTTATGGACATTTTCAAAAAACTCTGAAAAGATCAAGGAAACTCTACCATCCTATCACCATTGGGGCTTATTCACTACATACAATAGTATACCAAATCCTTTATTGAAACAAGAAAATAGCACTATAAGAACACACGTTAAGAACTAGGGAAAAGAAAATGAGTCACGAACTTTTTTAAGAAAGATTGCTTTAGAAGAAGAAAATATGGAAAAATTTAGATTTTGAAAATATTCTCTTAACATATTTTAGAAATATTTAAGAAATATTGTGATGACAAATTTGGCAGAACTCAAAACCTACGACCATAGACAGAAGATGGACGTGTAGATTATGTAATCATGTTGACATTGAATACAGTATTGAGGTAGATAACAGAATCACAATATTGTAGAGTATAGGCATATGTATATGCATATTTTATGTTTCTGTGTTAGTAGATATAATAGTACACAATAGTTACCGATATCTATCATATTTTAGATTGTAGTGAAAAGCGAAAATAAGATATATTAGTGAAGGTAGATATTATATTTCATCAATTGTAAATATATGGTGGACTCTAAATGCCTAGACATATAATATAGTTAAGATTCCAATATTTGTATTCATCATTTTACAGTCGATAAGAAATGTAATATTGTAAAACCTTAAAACCAAATAAATATTAGTATAAAAATTCATTCACGCATGCGCGCAATTATATTTTAAGTAGAAAGAAAATCAAAATCAAGTAACTACTTTATGGGGTCAAAATAAACTTAGAGACTTACACATCAGGTAGTGGGCTTATTTTAAGTTTGGGCCTCGTCTACAAATCTGTATGTTCACACCCAATAAAAACCTAAGTCCGTTCTCTCCCTCTCCACGCCGTTATTCCTCCGAATTCTCCGACGGTAGCATCATCTCCTCTCTTTCCGCTTTGATATCTGGATGACGCTAGGGTTGTTATCAGCGATCGGAAGATCATTCCGAAGAAAGCGAGCGTCTTCGCTTGATATTCTCTCTCCCAAACGAGCTCCAAGAAACTTCTACAAGGGCAAAAACTGCAAACCTACTGGTTTCCACACCGGAAAAGGTTTTTCTTTTTCATTTCTTCCCAGATTGAATCTTGTTTTGATTTAACAACTTAGAAACTCAATTTTGGGCAAACTCATCATCACACATAAAAGTATTTTTGGATTAGTTTTCATACTCTTTGCTCTAAGTTTTGCAGGACAATATGTTGTGCAGCCACATAAATTGCCAAACTACGTAATCCCTGATCTCACTGGCTTTAAGGTTCCCTTTTTCACCTTATGTGTCCTTAATCTTTGATTCGTGTAACATTAGTAAGCTATTGTACTGATTGAACATTATGTGTTCTACAGCTGAAACCATATGTGTCTCAGTGCCCTGTGGAGGTCAACAAAACAACTGAAGCTTCCAAGTGAACATGTCAGAAGAAATATGTTTTTTTGAGTCTTAATAAGCTTAAAGGTAAGGAATGTGTTTTGCGGAATTCGTATTCTATAATCTTTGAATCATTTGTTTTCTTCAAGGACTTACAAGCAACTTTTGAGTTGATGTTTTCTTTCTCTACCATATCAGAATTAGAACATTTGATAAGCATAGAGATAAATCTCATCTTGTTGTTATCGGAATCAATGAACAAACTGCAGAGATTTATTTATTAGTGTCATGGTCCACTTGTTTTGCTACAAACGCAGATTAATCGAAGTTGTTAAATTATAACTAGTGTAGAGTTACAATTGATTTTCAGACAATTAGGATCAGTTTTCTTCTCATTATCCTACACTTCATTTTGTTTTTGTAAGTTTGCTTATCTCTTTAACGATAAAATACCTACACTTGACAAATGATTTCCAAACAGTAAGGATTAGATAGCAAACTTACAAAGACAAAATATAGTGTAGGATAATGAGAAGAAAACTAATCAAGGAATTAATTGAAGCTTGAACAAACTAAAGACTTAACATCTTTTAAGGAGAGTTTATGCTAAATAGCCCATCATGCTAACAACATTGTCTCATTCACCACCCATTCCCACTCACCCAAAGCATAGAGAGAGCTGATGAAGATTTGTACTACATAACAGAAAGAAAAATTCGTATTCAATCTTTAAATCATTTGTTTTCTTCAAGGACTTCGAGCAACTTTTGAGTTGATGTTTTCTTTCTCTACATAACAAAAATGCCTCTTGGAGCCATTTCACTACATATCATGGGCTTCACGTCACCACTGTTGTTTCTAGTTAGTAGCTTAAATTTGCGGACTGTTTTTTTTGGGAAATTCGTATTTTATGATCCTTAAATCGAAATTGGTTCAAGCAAGTTGCCACTTTTGGGTTAATGATACTAAACGATAATTATAATGGTAAGTCCTCACGTGAAGTAGCACTTGAAATGTACTTCATGAGTATCAAGGAAGGAGATTCTAATATTTGAAACAGAGTTTCTAACGAGGATCACAATTAGTTGTTTGCTTCAAAAGCACTTCAAAACTTGCTGTAGCTTAACTGCTAGAGATATATATATATATATATATGGCTTAGATTCTCAGCCTAAGACATTAAACTAACAGATGCGGTTGTGAGGGAGCAAACCTCAAAATATTTCTAAAGGGAACAACTAGAAAACAGAGCAAACTTAAAGTCTCAAGGAAGCGATCTAATAAACAACACACCACAAGTTTTAAACATACAACATTAAACACAACAACACGCTCTAAATGTTTTTGTCTACGTTAACGATGTAAGCACACTTCCAACAACACGTAGGGAATTAGGATAAATTTCAATACGAAGGAACTAAATAGACTTTGTGCTGCATCAAACCGTAACAGCCACAACTTTCACCATGTCGAAAAGCCCATCGCCAATGACAATATGACACCACTGCACCTTACCCCAAATCTCTCCTCCTTGGTGCCTTTCTAAAGCGATCTCCGCGCAGCAAATCAGCTTCTCGCCATCCCGTTTTTTAGGAAAGAAGAGAGCCAGCTTCTTGGGACCGTAGTTCACCGTTAGGGACCACCTTGAACGAGCAGTCTCCACAGCCAAAAACTCCTCTAAACCATTGACAACACTCCAAGAATTCTCTTTTGGATCATACGCCCTCAACGCCTTCCCGGAACGGTCATGATAGTACAAGACATCCTCAATTACACACGAACCCTCCCACTCCTTGGAATTCATCACCTCATCCATCGATTCCCATTTCCTTTCCCTTGGTCCATAAACAAAAGAATCACCATTCCTGTAACCTTTCAGGTAAATCTTACCCTCCATCACAACAGAATCAGACCAAAAAGGGCCTAGACCTACAGACATGTCTTTGTTTACCAACTTAGGCTCCCACGATTGGGTTTCTGTATCAAACACTGTGACTGCCTTCTGCCACCCTTTCGACCACCCGTTCTCGCCAACGTAATGACAAAACGCATCACCAATTACATAAACCTTCTTCCCGATGACGTTAACCTCTTTATAACACATGCGCTGAGGAATGTCGGGGACGCGCTGAGCCCTGTGAGAAATGCAGTCAAAGCTGACCGCTGAGAGGTTGTTAAACGCGTACACCTTCGAACCAACCGGGACATAGCTTCCACGGGAAGACATGTGAGGAAGTGTCCGGACATGGACCAAGCGGTTGTAGCTGTTGAGCCTTTGGTGGAGGATGTAGAAACTGAAATCACCGGTGTTGCGGTTGCGGAGGACGGCGTAGACACGGTGTTGGGTGATGCCTAGCTGAGATCGTGTCTTGTAGAGCTTAGGCGAGGCGATGAGATTCCTGAAACTCTTGGAAACGAGGGAGAGTGTCGGGTAGTGGCTTCTGGGCACACGAGCTACGATGTCAATGGCTACGTCATCTGGAAGCGATGGAATCAGTGACAGCTCCATGTTTTTTGAAAAAGACCTAAAGAAAAGGAAAAGACGAAGCTTTGTTAGCTTAAAAGAAGAAGAAAGAGTAATCGCTTCAACATCAAAAATTTCAATTTGATTCCGAGACCAGACAGAAAAAAATTTACTCTTTAAACAAAGTTTCAATTTTTATCATAGTAGATGTCAATATATTACTCAAAAGCCATCAAGACATGTATGCAGGACAATTTTTCATCCAGATTTCAATAGTAACCTCCAAAATAAAGTTTAACTACTCAGGACCATCACTCAACAGAAACACTTAAAGTTTCAATTTTTATCAAAGTAGAGGTCAATATATGAACTTTAAACCCATCAAGACATGTACAAAGAACCAATTACCAAGCAGATTTTAACAGTAACCCCCAAATAATTACACTCACATTTCAACAACCATAACCCGATCGAAGGAGATATTAAAGGAGAATGGAGAGAAAGAGACGAAGAGTTGAGTTCTTCAGAAAAACCTGCAAGAAGCGAGAATTTCAGCAAGGAGGTTTCGCACAGAGTCGTGAGCAAAAGAGACCAAAGCTTGAACTTGTAAGAGAGAAGATGCATGGAGGAGGAGTCTCATCAGGGGTTTTGTGTCAAAAAGGTATACGACGACGTTTTCTTAAGGCCCATAATAATCAATTCGAGGTCCATAGCCTAATAGTATCGTAATTGGTCCTTTAAATATATCAATTAGTGGCTTTGATGTTTGTTTGTCCTCGTAAGTCCTAAGAGCAGGATTACCGCAGTGCTCTTTTTTTTTTTGTTCGGCTAAAGATTTTCTTTATTAATATTGAATTAAATCTTACATGAAAAAAATACAACAACAAATAAAATTTTAGGTACTAGAAACTAGAAACAGTAATAACACGATGCCAACTATATTCAAACAAAAGTAAGAAAAATGTTATTTATATTTATAATAAAGATCTTCAAACAAATCTATATAATTTCTATAAATTTGTTATAAGAATTTTTCAATTATCAAACAGTAAAATTAAACAGTATATCTAAAATTTGTAGATACTAAAAGAATTAAAATAAACAATTTGACTGAACATAAAATTAAAATAATTTTTTTTGTTAATTTTCAATTAGATTTAAGAATTGATATATAATAATAATAATAATAATAATAACAATAATAATAATAATAATAGTCTTAGATAGATTTTTATCTACTTATTTTGAATAACATATATTACATCAACTTGTATAAATTAATAAAAATTGATATAGAAATTATATAATTATCAAACATTACAATTGAAAAATATTTCTAAAATTTGTAGATACATAAAAGAAGCATAATAATATTATGCTTTAAAATTTCTACTTTTGTAAAAATATTGAAAATATTTTTATTAATAAAATTATATAATCATAAAAATAAAAATAAATAATATTTAAAATTTTGTAAAATATGATTATGTTTATTATTTAATACTAAACAATACCACCGGGAAACCACTTCCAACCCATAAGGATTCATAGTCGGCTGTATTTAGTTCATCCACTCCTCTGTCGAATTCTGGTATCAGAGACTCGGTCTCATCGATTACAGCACGCAACCTCTGGTGTACGCATAAGTCCACTTTTGAGAATATGACTATGTCTGGTGACGAAACTAAAACAACACTTGAAGAGGTTAAAACAGAAATACCTGACCTTCCTACTCCCAAGCTTTGCTTGTGGAAGCTATGCCTAATCTCAGTGGAAAGGAATTGTTTCGGAAATCAAACTGCAAGAAAGAAACCCGTAACTCTTCCATAAAATTCCAAATACAATATCTTAGAATAAAATATAGTGATCATATTTTTCTTCACCTGGAGTATCTACGAAGTTTGATATACAATCTACAACATTCTTCTCTTCACGATAGAAACTGGTCTCAGTAATATTGAAAGACGTAATCACGGAAAAAGAAAACTAAGAGTGGATGTAAAGATTCATCATCCACATTGATACTTCGGCCTCCGTTCCGATTTGATTGTACTTACAAGAACATCATATGACCGCATGTATTTAAATTGTATTTTGTATGTTTCCCACTATATGTGATTATTTTTAATCTTCGCTATCTGTCAGTTTTCATAACTCTGTGTTCTTCTAGCCAAATTCGACCAAGCATCAGCATAGTTGGGCTTCAGCTGAGAAATAGATCGAAAAGAAAGGGTAAGAATGAGAAAAAAGTGAAGATAAAGTAACAGCCTCAAGCACAAAGTTGATGAAGCAGCACCTTAGTGGCAATCAAGTAGTAGCAGATTGAACGATCACTGTCCCTTTTTTCCTGAGAGAGAGCAGACCACAGATATAATAAAATCATATTCGTTGGAAATAACAAACTGATCAAGTAAAGTCCAAGCTAGTCACCTTCCAAGTGTTCTCCATGTTTCCATAACATTAAGCAAACTGAGATTGGATCCGACGAGCTTCTTCATTTCTAGCAATGCACACATCATAATCATGGATTTGTCACAGCATGTAAGACGTAAGTTAAAAAACTACAAGTTCGTCTTTTTATTTAAAAAATCTATAGAAAGAACAGTACCTGATAGTAAATAGCACCAATAAGAAGAACATTATCAATGCGTAAGGGGTTTCTCTGGTAAACCAAGTTGATGTGCTCAAGGGCTTGTTTGAAGTCACCTGCTTTGTCGAGTTGATGAGAAAGTGTCAGGTGTGCTTCATCATCAGCTGCACCAAACATATACAAATTACACTAATCAGGAAACCAATAGCAATCACATTCTCACAAAAGCAATTAACTTTTTTATTCCAAAACGAACAAAGCTAATAACTTTCCTCACCCAAAATATAGAAGCCAGAAACGAGTAAAAGACATAAACACAAGTTCCAGTTTTGTAGTAAACATGATTTCACAAAGCTAAGATCTTTGAATAATTTTTTTGGTTAAATGATCTTTGAATATATCATTCCCAATTATATTTGAAAATGGAAAGCTTTATCGCATAACCTAATTGTTTATAGTATAACCAAGGGGTTACATCAAGGATCAACGGATACAAACACAGATAAGGAGAATTAACCAAATATCCATTCACAAAAAGAGAACAACAAATGGCCCATGCAAAACCCAAAATATTTGGGAGGAAGAAAAAAAACGGCATGCGAGGGTAAGGACAAACTTAAATGACACATTAGGTTTAATAGAATGACACGCAAGCTGAGAAAAAACATATGTGGAGCTCACTAAAAGCTAACATGGCACGCTGAGAAGTAAGCAAAAACTCTCTCATTATAATATAGATTTACCAAAAATATAAGTAAGCATTAAATGTAATTGTCCATGTCATATTCAGTCATAAGCCATGTCATCTTTCTAGTATGTCATGTCACATTAATTTAGTGAAAGTAATTGTAAAGAAGACATATGTCAAAATCAATTTACAAATAATGTATAAGGGATTGTGGTTTATTTTGAATATGCGAGGATTAGTTCGAGTTTGGATCCTACCCAAGACCCGATTGGGTACCCAGAACATCCAAAATATTTTATATATTTGGACATTTTAAATACGCTTTCAGTACTATAGATATCTATTAAGTTTCAGGTTTGAGTTTTCAGATAAATTTCGAGTTTCAAGTAGATTTTCATATTTTTACAAATATATTTTTGGATATTTGAATATTTTTCAGATTTTCATATATTTTTGTGTACTTCAAATCTTTTTCGTGCCCTAAAATACTTGAAGCGGCTTGGAGCCGCTACGTATTCAAAAACTGAATGTATTTTATGAGTATGTTAATTATGGATCTTAATCTCCTCTCGTTATTATGGGAATCAATGAACAAGCTGCAGAGATGTATTAGTGTCATGGTCCACTTGTTTTGCTAGAAACACAGATACAATTTAATCATAGTTGTTGCCAAGTCCAAAATTTTAGGGGTGTCAACTAATGGGCCAAAGCCCAGTATCAAAATAATTTTACGAAAAAATTAATAATAAAACAGCACAACATAGAATCAAACCCAGGTTAGGTGGATCAGAAGAGAGGAATGTTAACCGAATAAGCTAGAAAATCTTATTAACAACATAGCAAAATAGCTGAAACTTAATTTAAACTTGTGTCAACTGACCCACTATTACTCAACGTGGGTCCGCCTCTGGTTGTTGCTACATACCTTGAGTTATAACTAGTGTAGAGCTACACTTGACAAATGCTTGCCAACCAGTAAGGATTTTTAGCACAACAATCAAATCCGAATGTATGAAATATTAGGAAAATTACTTTTTAGGTAAAAAAAAGGTAAATATGTTCCATTAGACTAATCTCATATACTTTATGTCCCATTACACTAAATATTTTCAAAATGGCAATAATAAGTTTAATTTCAATTAAAAATTCAAAATTACAATTAAAAAATAGTTAAATATTAAAACATAATAAATAAGTAAAGTAAAGTAAAAATAATAAATAGACTAATTAAAATAAAAAAATCATTAAATATTAAAGTGTTGTCAAAAAATAAAATAATTAAAGTAACTAAAATGTGCACTTTAAAAAAAAAAACAATTTCTTGAAAATTTGATTTTTAATATATGGAAATTGAACATTTTCAAATATTTTCTTGCCATATTTTCGGAACTGATTGTTCTTATCTGTATAATATGTATTCTACTATAGGTAGAATACAAGAATAATGTTTGAAATCAATTTTTACAGGTTTTAGATTTATAATAATGTGTAGATTCTAATTTCTACTGATTTTAGATTTATAAGTAATCTGTAGATTCCGATTTCTACTTAATTTAGAGGGATAGGTTAAACACTGTATATTCAAAATAATTTTGGATTCGTATTATTTAAATAGAACATGTATTCTAAATGTAGTATATTCAATAAAAAATGGATTTTATTTTCTACTTTGTAGAATGTCAATTCTACTTTATGTAGAACATAATCTGAAATTATGATTTGACAATTTTAGAACTTGAAAAAAATACCACTAAATTGATATTGGTATTTCGTCGGTGGTTACTATTTTTCTATTTTTTGTTTTGTTTGTAAAAATATTTATACAATTTAATTTCATGTACAAAATAGAAATTAGTCTAATAGGATATAATTACAAATTTTTGGCCTAAAAAAACATTTTCCCAATATTATATCGTTTATGAGATTAGCAAACTTCCAATAACAAATGAAGTTTACGATAATGAGAAGAAAACTGATCAAGGAATTAAGTGAAGCTTGAGCAAAACAAAGATTGAACAGCTTGTAAAGAGAGTTTATGCATCAAACTATGCTAAAAAGACCATCATGCTAACAACATTGTGAGACTGTTTTGAAACGGACTCCCGATGTCGAACCGGTAAACTTGTTGATCTACTATGTAATCTTGTTTGGGTTTTAGGAAAAATTTATAATTTAAAAACTCGATAAATTCCCCCAAAAACCTTTGAACCACTTGTTGAACCAATCCATAATCTTTACTTATTTGTTTCTTATACTTTTTTTCAGTTACATTATTAGAATTTGTTTTGTATTACACTGAAGAAGTTAGGTTTTTAATTTTCAAAATAAAAAGATTATAACATCATGTGGATTATAAATCTATTGACAATACATAGTTTTGGATTATTGATCATAATGAATAAGAGAATGTTGTTTGCTAAAGAATAACCCAAAGATGATAAAGCAACAAACCCATAATATATTGACGGCAGACAGTAACTTTTAAAAGTTAAGATTGAAATTTCTGATGTCTATATCATATATAACTAGGAGAAGTCCGCCCGAAGCTAATGAATGAATAATATAAAAAATATCTGACAATTTGAGGTATTCTTAATATCAATTGGAATTTTTTTTAAAAAAAAATAAAATAAAACTCAACTAACAATCAAACTATACAACTAAAATATTAAAAATTCAAAAGATATGACGCCATTACAGTCGCTTCAGGTGAAGTCTATTTAATTGTGACAAGACTTCAGTGAGATGTGATTGCAAAAAGAGAGAAGCCTTCACTCCATCCCAATGAACCTATCAAATGCTTCATGAACTTTGGGCAGATGTTTTCCTCTTATCGATGTCACTGTTGAGATAAACGGAGATACACATAATGAGCGACTTATTAGATGATTAAGTTACGGTTAAAGCTTTTATAGTTATAAGTACAACCACTGCACTTAATATAACACTTTCAAGAGAGTGATATGCGAAGCGTATGATGCTTTCGATTATTGAACTCTTTCATCTTCATGATGCAGTGGGATAATCACTTTGGTGAAGAATATACACATGACTTGGTCACAACTCACAAAATCTATTTGAATTAAAATAAAAACTTAAAAGCAAAAACTAAAGACATGTTCAAGATAATGTACCTGAATCCATGCTCATATTAACTTAGGTCATCTAAAAAAATTAAAAGTAGCTCAAAACCATTGGTTTATGAAGCATTTCATCATAGCAACAATATGAAACTCATTTACATGAAAACCATATGAGAATCAAACAAATTCCATTTGCAACCACAGCAGCACAAAAAGACTTCAGAGCTAGACAAAAATGTCAAGTTAAGTTCCACAGATTATTTCATGGTTAAGTACCTAACAGCAACATCTTATATAGTTAACCCCCGAGAATTCACACAATTTTACTCTAAATTGTTGTAAAAGCATCCTATAGGAGTTGAACCTAGCAATGCCAAACATGTTCTATAGATTAGTGGAATTAGCGATAATTATTTGCAGATCCTTTCTTCTATTTAATCATAGATCAAACTATTAAGAAAAGTCTGACTCATATAGCCAAAAAGAGTAGAGATCTTTTTTTGTATGTGTGCATAAGATGGTGTTGGGAGAAATGTGTACCTTCATAAGCTATCATAAGAAGACAATCTGCAAGGAGGGTTTTTAGACTCAAGGCTTTATGGAGACTCAGTTTCTGATTCTCTCCTTGGATAACCATTCGTTTTTTTTCTGTTTTGTTCTGTAAGGAAAAAAAAAGAAGAAAATGTTGAACACTAAATCAGAACAGAACACAACAAAGACAAACGATTAAAGGTTTTTATTAAGTAACATGTTTCCGTATATTGGCAGAGAACTCGGGTATTACTTCTCAAATCGCTGTAAGACTTTTAATCTCTAACTAAGACACCTACGAACCTGCCATGATGTAATCAAGAAACCTTGCTTGATCCATGCCCAACTGTAGCAACACCATGGTCCAAATTGACCCCTCACCGCCCATTGAAGACACCCTTCATATACCAAAACACAATAATTCAAACATCAGGAAGTTTAATCATTTTCTGATCATGGGTTTAATAATGTACTTAAACTGCTATAGAACTGGAAATCTCTACCAAAAGCATCAATAGCGACATTGATAGTCACCATTTCAGATTCATCCTGGTTAAAGCAAAGAGAGTTAGTATGACAAATTTAATCCTTTTCTTCGCAGTTACAAAAAAACCTTTTCGTCTAGAAAGTTCCTTCTTCCATGGAGTAAGAATAAACCTCTTCCTTGCGAAGATCTGGCCTCCGTTCTTGACAATTTACTCAAAATCATAATCTATGAGACCACCGTTGCAGCCATTGTTGTAAATTGTGTCACAGACTCATAGTCTATGAGTTCTTGTTCAGACAATGTTTTCAAGTTTCTTTTCATAATCTTGTTTATACCTTCCACTGTAGCAGCTGGCGAACACGCCCAATAACTTCCTGCATAACAAATCGGAAAATAAAATATAAATAAAAATTAAAGCTATAACACATTATAGTACAAGATTTTAGCTTACTGCAAGAGCCTTTGGTTCTTGACATAGTGCACTTGGCTCCTTTCTTTCTCCAGTCAACAGATTTAGGAAAAGCCTCGACGTCAACATCTATATAAGCGAAACTTTGGTAAGATCTTTCATCATTGAGTCTTTCTATATTAGTCTTGAGCCCCAAATACTTGTTCTTGATTTCTTCGTGGCTCAGATTCTCCAAACTCATTGAGACCAAGCCAATAGCTTTTCACTTTCTTGTTTGTCTCAATGCAACCGAGTTTGTTACTGACACTTGCTCACATCCCAACCCACTCTCATGAACCTAAACCTCGAATTCACTTCTCCAAAGTTCATGGTTCTCTCAGACAGCTAATATGTAAACTTTATAACCAACATGAGATCCTAGGAAAATTACTTTATGACACTTGAATATTTTCTTCAGGAAGCTTTAAGCTTGAAAATTAATATTGATTCTGGAATTTGTTTCAATACTAAGATGTCTTTTAAGAACATAATGTTAAGCTAGATGGGGTTCCAATCTAAAACCAATTGGTAATAAATGGAGTGGTTCATCTATCTTATATATTGTTTAAGATCCCTTTCAATACCCGATGTGGGACCTTTGTCTCTAATACGCCACCTCGAGATGATGGCTCTTTGAGCGTCAATCTTGGAATGTTTGGGCAAGGATCGATGGGCCAACTTTGGGCTAGATTGATAATGGACCGGGTTGGATTGTTTGGATTGGGCTCTGATACCATGTTAAGCTAGATGGGCTTCCAACCTAAAACCAATTGGTAATAAGTGGAGAGGTCCATCTATCTTATATATTGTTTAAGATCTCTTCCAATACCCGATATGGGACCTTTGTCCCTAATACATAATACCTTAGAATCGATGAGAAGCATGTCAACCCCCATCAACTCGTCACTGTGTTTGAAGTTCTGGCTTCCTAGAATATGAGCAACCGCGCCTCCACGGTGGAAGAACAACGTTTTAGTGAACACGGTGGAAGGTTGTTAAAGGCGGTGAATCCGGGTGTTTCGTTTTGGGGTTCTAATTCATAAGATAAACAAAAAGTCCAAAAGGTCCCTTTCCTTTCGTTTAATGAAACAATGTGTTTTGGGTAAAGAAGACACATGTCGTGTCCACAAGAAGCTATTTGATGATGTGTTTTGCTTAGTAGAGAAACAAATAGGGGTAGGACGGATCCGGATATCCGGGAAATTTGAAGTATCCGGAGCCGGATCCGGATTCGTTGGATCCGTGATTTTAGTATCCAGATTTGGATTCGTGTCTTCCGGATATCCGGACTGCGGATATCCGTCTAAATATTGTGATATCTACGGGTATCCGGATTCGAATTCAGATCCGTAAAAAATAATTAAAAAAAAAATCAAAACTTCTAAAAAATAATACATAAACTAAATATTTAAGCATAATTTTTGAATATATATATGACATATAATATTATCAATATAAAAGTAAAATATTATTAAACTTATTTTATGTATAAATATTAATATATCAGATATAATTAACAATAAAATAAAATATTTAATATATTTTTTAAAATACGGATCCGAATCCGGATATCCGGACCTAAAAATTAAGATATCCGGATCCGGATTCGGTTTTCACGGATCCAAGATTTTACTATCCGGATTTGGATCTGGGCACCCCGGATATCCTAATTTCGGAGCAGATCCGGAGCGGATCTCGGATCGAATCCAGATCCCGGATAAAAGTTCCAGCCCTAGAAACAAAGTCCTCTTTTCTACATTAATATATATTGATTAAACTATTTGATTTGTGATTGGATAATGTGACAAAATAACTGGATGAGAATATTTCAATTGATGTTGCACTCCATGTATTGTTTTATTTTATTTATTATTGTAGATTAGACATTTAAATACTTAAGGATTTAAGTTTTGATATATTTTATTATACATTATAATTCTTAACTTGTTACAAATATTGTTAAATAGTCTAACTACTTTTAAATATTTTGTGTGTGAAATGAAAAACTAAAGTTAAATATTTTTTAAATATTTTTAAAACATAAAATATCTCTTATATTTTTCAATACACTTTCAGTACCCTTTCACTTATACTGTATACACTTTCAGTACCCTTTCACTTATACCGTATACACTTTTAGTACCCTTCAGATATATCTTATACACTTTCAGTACCACTTTCCAATACGCAAAGGGTTTGAAACTTTGAATATTGGACAGACAAGGCTTGGGTCCAGTGTGAATATGCTGGTTATATAAGGTTTTCTTCTGGTTTAAATCGATGGTTTTCTACATAGTTGTGCGCCCCAAGACTTTTATAGCTGAGAACAAGGGGTCATATTCAGTTTAAGCTATACCGATAGTAAAATTTTAGATTTGTATTTTGTTTTTTTTCAACACTAATATTTACATCTTTTCTATTAAAACATGATTATGACCTATTGATACATATTATGTCCAACAATTTATTTCTTTTATTTATTGGAACATATATAATTCTCTTTATTTTACAGCACATAAAAGAATCGCACCCTTCTTTCTAACTAAGTAGTTATCGATAAATGAAATATACCCGTTCTTTGAAAGAGCGGGTTAGAATCTAGTTTTCAATTATTTTTTTATAAAATTAACAACGTTCGATTTATTTGTGATATCTTATTACTTTTAAACTACTTGTAAGTCAATTAATAATTATCTAAAGGTTAATTAATAATTATTTGTAAGTTACTTGATAATTTGTTAAAATTCCAAACTAAATAACTTTACTATTTATAAGGAATTGGTGACTAATCAAGTTATAACAAGTGTCTTTAACTTTGATTTTGATCTATAACTATAAAATTATCAATTATATTTTATCTAGCTTTCAAAGTTATAGAAAAAATAAAACAAAAATAGTTTTAGAACCTTATTTAATAATTTCTTGAAAATCATATTTTTTTCTATTTAATTCTTACAAATACATTAAATTACAGAAACACTGAAAATTCTTAAGTTACACGAACACACAAAAATATAAGAACTAGCACTTCTTATTAGATTTAGAAACTCTCTCAAAACTAAATCAATGTGTTTCTCTTGTTTCTCTTTAACGGATGCAACATCTCTGCAACTCCTTATATATGTCGAAGTTAATCTTAGCCTAATAATAATATGGAAATATTCCTAAGCTCGATATGTTTTCCTTTTTCCTTAACTTACTAAACTTCCCTTTAATAAGTTAACTTTCTCCTTAAGTTAATTGGAATTATCCAACATTCTCCTCCTTAATTCCACCTTGAATCTCGGGCTTGTTGATCTCTTGAATTCTGATATGTGCATGAATTCGATGTGATCATCTTCAACACACTCACGGATGATATGGTACTTCGAGAGTATGTATTTGTTTCTCCCGTGAAACATCGTCTTTACATCAAATTGCTTACGCTCCATATCATGACGTGCTACCAGCGCTAACAACACTCAAATGGAAGTATGTCTGACCACCGATGAGAATATCTCATTGTAGTCTACTTCCTGTCTCTGACAAAAACCTCTTGTAACAACTCAAGCTTTATACTTAACTCCTTCTACTGGTGATGTTTCATCCTTAATCTTGAAGACCCACTTGAAACCTATCGATTTCACACCTGCCGGCTTCTTGAAGAGCTTCCAGGTCCTGTATTTGATGATAGATTTGATCTCTGCCATCATCGTATCGATCCATGCTTGTATCGATGCAGCTTCGATGTAACTTTCTGGTTCACCATCTATGGTCAGGAAGAGTCTACCACCTTCAACTTCAGCGAGTAGAATGTAAGCCTCGAACCGCTTTGGTTTTCTGTTGTTACGGCCATATCTCGATGTTACATGATGGTCTTAGTTTGCATCGTTATTCTCTGCTATTTGTTTTTCTTTCGTTGCAGCTTCAAGTTCTTCTTCGGTTGCAGCTTCAAATTCTTCTTCTTCATCATTTTCTTCATGGTTCTGGTGATCATGATTCTCAACACCATCCCCTTCTTCAACCATATTCTTAGTGACTTCAAAATTTCCATGTCCAAGCCGTGCATGCCACATCAATGTATCATCACTTTCTTGTACCTGAAGGCACTTTGAGTAGTCTATCTCAATTGGTGTCTTGTACAGACGGTTTGGCGATAGTAAGACTTGTACTAGAAATCTTCCCTGTGGATCATTAAGCATTAACAAATCTCCTTTCATATTAATCTCACAAACCTTCTCAATTGCCTATTCAAGACTTATGATATTATGCTTAAGTTTTGGGATGTAGTAAATGTCTTTGAGTGCTCTTCTCTCTCCGGTTTTGCATACGAACGTAATTGACTCTCTGCCTAAGATCTCAACATTTGATCCATCACCAAATTTTACCTTACCTTTGATGCTCTCATCTAGGTTTAGAAGAACTCTCTATTCCCTGTCATATGGTTACTTGCACCATTGTCTGGATACCATATGCTTGTGTTTCCATCGCTTCCATCAAACCTTTTAGGGAACACTCTCTCTTCGTTGAGGAATACAACTTCATGTATATATAATGCATCTGCTTCTTGTATTTCTGTTATGTTAGCTTCTTGGTCTTGTGTAGGTCGTGTTAGACAGAGTGATGCAAAGTGCCCCATCTTGTCACATCTTCAGCACTGTACTTTGGAATGATCCTTTTTTGTCTTCTCAGAAGCTTATCCTCCTTCGTTGTGATCACAGAATCTTCCGCGACATCTACCCCTTATACCATAACCTCTACCTCTTCCTCGGTAGCCATTGTGTTCTCCACAAACTTGCGTATCATTCTTCACAAGTTTTGGTTCTTCCATAACCTCTCTTAACGCATCCAATCTTGATGCAACGCCTGATAGCTTCCCAATGTAGTCATCCGATGTGTCCGTGTCATTCATCTTTAGCCTATCAAACTCCGCCATCAACGTATGAAGTCTCGCCTCCCTTAAATGATCAGCTTCAAGGTGTTGTGACTTGTTGGCGTTCCAGATATCTCTTGATGCGGTTTGATCTCCCACCTGGAGAATCAAAGTTTTAGGAACGGATTGAAACAAAAGAGCAGTCGCCACATCGTTCTTCTGTTGATCATCCGAACAGGGTTCGATCGCGTCCCAAACTTCATGAACATGAAGTAACACCTTCATCCTCATAGACCAAACTGTATAGTTTGTCGATGAAAACATCAGACATTGGATGGATGTAGATCCAA